TATTTAGTATTCTCCATGCCCATTCCTTTCATGATCTGTCCCCAAGATCTTGAAAAGTAAGTATTCCTTGGCTGTCATTGAGAAGGTCACCTAACCTTGATAATTGTGCCTGGGTTGACCAACTCACCCCACACTTATTTGTGGGTCACCACTTAATGTGAGGATATTGGTATTGTTGGAATCATCATCTGGTCCAACAATGTTTGGGATTTTCCCTGAGACGTACTGCAACCTCAAAGGATTGACAGGTTCTGCCCCTTGTTAACTTTAATACAAGAAGATCTCACTAATATCCTATACAGTCATCTTTGGAGTCCTGGCCCTAGGAGGAAGCTGCTGGCACCCTCTCCTCCTCAGAGGTGCTGTTTACACCCTACTGTGATCCAAAGGTACGGCACCTCCAAAGCCAACGTCTGAGCTTAATGCCCTTCCCAGGCCCCATGCCTGCCACTGGCTAACAGCTGTCCCAAAGAGCAGCGCCTATCCTGAGAATCTGGGCCACCATTCACTGTGGGCCTCTCCTCAGAAGGAGAAAAAGAAGATTGCATTCTATTAGGTAGAGCTTATCATTTGCATCTGCCAAGATGAACACATTCTCCCCTAACAGCTCCCTATCCCACAGCCATTGCCCTCCCCTCCTCCTTTACAGTCTCTGGTAGCTTTTTCAATAGTTTTTTTTTCTTTTCCCCCTTCTTTCTGGTTAAGACAGGGCTGTCTCTCTGGGTGGAAAAAGGCAGAGTGTTAGTGGGGTGCAGCTGCATTTCAAAGGTACTTTGTTGGCCCGTTATGAATTTGCTTTCACTAATGTGGGGAAACAGGGGGATTCTTTGGCCTTTTTAAAACTGAAATTGATGTTATTCCTCTGCCAGTGGTACCCAAGGAACTGTTTTGTTCCATTTCCTCCCCTTTCAGGCAGAGCCCCATTTATGTTTAGATCTGGTGTGCTGCCACTAAGAATCATTGTCATTACCACCAGTGTCTAAGGCCTGGCCAAATTTAGCAGCTGTGTGTTTAATGCCTACTCTCACTAAGGTTTATTTCCTTGACAACATCTTCTCCTTTGGACCAAGTTTTATTCCCTCTCCTTTATTTTTTTCTTGTTCAGAAAAGTTCCCTTGTAGTCCTGTGGAGATTAAAACCAAGGGTGGGATAGTGTAGTGAGAGGAGGTATGAAACAGAAACTTGGGAGATGGAAATGGGCGTTGGAGGGGTGGGGTGGTTTTCACCATAAATTATAGGATCAGATAAGTTATTAGGATGGTCACCACTCCCCCAGCCCCTAAGCCAACTCACCCCGAGCCTCACCCACCCTTAGTATTTAAAATGGAATACCTAGGTGGCCCAACAGGACCCCCTGACCCCTATATCCTGTTCCTTTCTCCATGCTTTGCTGCCAGTTTCCTCGATAAAAGGAGAGAGTGAGAGATAATTAACAAAAAACATGGCCCCAGGACAATTGAACAACTGGCCTTGGCCGGCAAGAAATTTATCCTGGTTTTCTAGGTGAACTTTCTCCCATCAATCTTTCCTTTAACCCCTGTGTTAGTGGAAGCAATAGGAACACCCCCTCCCATCCCCTGAGCAATTGCTTTCTTTTGACTGGAAACAAAAAGAAGGGATCGGAGAGCGCTGAGGTAAAATCTGGGTGGTATAGTGCGCCTCACAATGCCCCCACTGTGTCACTGGCAATAGCTGGTGTTTTACAACAGGGGAGGGGAGAGCATGAATAGGCTGATGATGTGAAACAATCCGACTGATTCAGGCCTACAAACCCATCTTCTGTTCCACTAGGGCCTGAACAAAAAAGAGAAAACCAGGGGGAAAGTACAAATTAAAACAAAATGAATTAATTTTTAAAATATTTCATCCAGGGGAGGAAAGAATTTTTAAACAACCTTTCTGGGGATTTTTTTGGACCTTGTCTGACAAAACTTAGAGAGAGCTCATGGAGATAAATTTGAGGGATTTCTTTGATTAAAGAGTAAAGTACAATAGGCCATACAACTAAGATTCTCTCTCTCTCTCTCTCTCTCTCTCTCTCTCTCTCTCTCTCTCTCTCTCCATTCCTCTTCCTAGCAGTAGTAAAACATGACTAGTAGTGGGGTTGGAAGTGCTGGTGACAATACCCACCCACTTAAGGTCCCCTTAAGAGTGTATTATAGTTAGAGAAAATATTTGTGCTCTGAAGATGACACTCTCCATTTTGTTAATGGCTCTTGTTTGGTCATGATAATCACCCTCACCAACAAACTGCTATGAAGAGTGTGCTGCTTTCTAATTAATGGGCATTCTTAGCAAAAACATTCTTTTCACGGCAGCCAAAGCATTACCATTGTGCTCTATTGGGAGAATAGAAAGCAGAATGAATATGAGGGAATTCAATATTATAAATTACCATTAAAACAAAGACAGAAAGATCCTTCTCTGCCCCAGGTCACTGCTACCCCCAATAAATTAGGACTCAGTTTGGTGGAAAAAATAGAAGTGAGATTAATGTTACAAGAGTTCTTCCCATAAACAGTAAGGTTAGGAACTCTCTACTGCCTCTTCTACCCCCCAACCCCATCAATCTAATAAATTGAGCACATACTATGAAACGGAAACATTCTTCATGATCATCAGTGTTTCCTAATTTCATCATTATGTCATCGTGTAATAACTACCAAGTGGACATAAAGATGAATAAAACCTATAAAACCTGCCTCTAAGTAACAGATGAGTACACAAAACAGCTATATTACAAGGTAATGGGTGGTAAATTACTCAAGAGGAATAAAAACCAAGTGCTAAGAAGGTTCAGAGGAGGAGGAGATCACAGCTTGTTGGGGAAGATCAGGGAATAGAACATGGAAGAAGTGCACTTGAGTGGGGTCTTGAAAGTTAGATAAGATAAAAATGGAAATTGTGGAAGGAAAGCATTCTAGGAATGGAATTCCAGGGGAAAAGTATAAATGTGGAACCTTGGGGAAAACTGCCATTAATCCAATTTGGCTGGAATGAATAGAAAAGATGAGATTAAAGAATTGGGTCGGGGCCAATTTATGAAGTATCTTGAATGGGAAGTGGAGGAATTTAAACTGCAAGTGATACTCTATGAAGAATCACTAAAAGTTTTAGAACAGAGAACTGATAGATGAGTGTGAATCTGACTCTTTTCGCCTTCTTTTAAAAGTCTCTGTACCTGAGGTGTTTCTAGCTCATTCACTTATGTTTCTAAAGTGCTCTAGTGGGCCAGCAAATTTATAATAATCCATAATGGAATATAAAAAATCTATGATAAGTAATATAATTAAACTCTATAAGTGGACTCTAAGAAGAGAAAAATAGTAAGATGCCTCACACAACAATAATTTGCTTAACTATTTTTATTTTAACCAGTAAACCAAACCAACAAACCCACTCTGCATAGGTAATACTCCTCCCATTTGGAATATATGCTGGACATTCTCCATGATAGTGGCCAACATCTTTAATGTATTATTGGATACTCAGAGGTTTACCTCTGAGACTGTGACCATTAGGTCCAAATGTGAGGGCTTCACTGCTATTTGTTGTATTCCTTGAAATTTTATCCTTAAATGTCCTCAGAATGACCTCTCTTTCTATAGACTTATTTTTTCTTCTGCCAGTCTGATAATTGTCTTATAAGATGATCCTGCTCATAAATTCCACCATCTTCCTCTCTAAGATTTAGAAATGGCATTTCTAAACCTACACTGCCCTCAACTGCCATATTCCCCAGCTTGGCAAGGTGATCAAATATTTGCTTGTTGAGGTGATTTCTAGGTCTTTTTGGTCTCATGGCTATGGCAACTGATTTACATTTACTAAAAACTTCCTTAGTTAATAGCAGTTGTTTGTGTTGATGGCTGGTTGTTAATGTTTTTTAAAATTCAATTCTCATATTTTAATGTCAATAGCTAACTTAACTAGATCAAATTGGAGTTACTTTAATTGCATGCTCTATCATCTCAGCTTTCTTTTTCTGACTTGGTATAGATTTTTATCTTTGATGCAACAAATGGAAAGTCTGTTGTGCATAGACAGATGATTTTCACATTGGTAGCCAGGTCTTTCCTCTCCTTTTTAAAAATTTCATGTGTTGTGAGAGTCAATGCTTCCTTTTTCTAGTACTTCCACTCTTCCTAAAGATAAATGAGTTTTCTATGTATAAGTCCATAAATCTTCTTTAATTTCTTACTCTTGATATGTATTTTCCAATATAGTTTTGGGAATGCCTCATACTAACCTTTGCATCAAATCATTGTGTATTAATTTTATATGTTTTTAATATGGTTTCATCTATTTAGATGGGGGAATGTGAAAATAGCAATCTCTTTCATTTTATAAATGCTAATCACGAGCACTATAAGGTAAAATTAACAAGTGTCCTATGAAATCTCTATTTCTGCCTTTGGTTGTAGAATCAAGCCAATTCCAGTGACTTCTATATTTGCCTTTCCAAATAAGACCTGTGAGCCATTTTTTCCCCTTTAGTTAGAATTTCCTTTTGTCTTCTGGCTTCATTTATAGTGAGAATGTTAATTCTGATATAATTTAGTTTCTCTAGTAGTACATCCACTTATTGGTCATTGTACAAAGAGCACACATTTAGTGTTCCTGAGCGTTGTTAAAGTTTTTCAGTTGTTTTTCAGTCATATCAGACTCTTTGTGACCTCATTTGGGGTTTTCTTGGCAAAAATGCTGGAGTAGTTTGTCAATTGCTTCTCCAGCTCATTTTATAGATGATGAAACTGAGGCAAAAAGGGTTAGGTGAGTTGCCCAGGGTCACATAGTTAGTAAGCGTCCGAGGCCAGATTTGAACTCATGAAGATGAGTCTTCCTGGTTCCAAGTCCAGTTCCAAGTACAGATAGTCTAAAAATGGTGTGATTCTTAACATCTACTGCTACATTTTCTACTTCTCTAATCCTCTCATTGCAGAAGAGGGAGGAAACCATGTAGGACTGACGATCCTTTTGTATATTTCTTTTCTTCTCAGGTTGCCATTACCAAGTGACTAAACTACTATTGAAAATCTCTGTGATTAGCTAGGTAAGTACTAGAAAAGCAAAAACAAATTGTTGCTGAGATTACAATCAAAGCCTTTACAACATGGCAGAATCTGCTAAAACCTGTACTCTTTTGACATAGCCTTCAAAATCCACGGTCAGTTTCAGGCTATGAAAAGGCAGCAGAATAGGACTGTGGAGTACAATACAGGAGAAAGTATTAAGATGATGTAAGGGTGTGAGACAATGTTCCTTTCTTCCTGGATTGAGGAACAGGTAATGGAGACAATGAGGTCTAAGGGCAGCCCCCTTTCAGATTTAGAGTGGCCAAATTTGTAGCTTGTAAAGCATATGAAAGAGAATGGTCATTTGCATATGAAAAGGTCAAGATTGACAAAGAAATTTAGACTTGTTCCACTCTGCCCACTCCTTGGAGGGGGAGAAAGGTAGACCGAGAGGTTTAGAAGAGGAACAGACCCTGTCCTGCTTCTTCAACTGAGTAGAGACAACTATACTGAAAGGGTAAGTGAGCTTGGTGCCTAGAACCAGGATCTTGCTTATGAGACAGGAGGCCTAAGGGTGGAAAGCATTCTGTAGCTTTGTTAGTCATCAGCAATCTGGAGTATGGTCTCTGCTTCGTTCCGGAAGAGTTTAACAGCACCCTGGGCCAGGATTTCAGCTCAGACCAAGGTTAGGGATGTGAATGCTAGGACCAAACAACATAGATGATGTGCCCAGGGAATCTAGCAGAGAAACTCAACCAGCAGAGAAATGAGGAGCCATCATGAGAAAATATTTGGGTCCTATGTCCTGGAGGTTCAAGTTGCCTTGGCCACATGAGCTCCCTGCAATCATGGCTCTTATGTAGTGCATGTTACGTATATGTCCATTTTTCCTGCTGATATTGTGCATATTTATGGAAGAGTAAACCCTCAGTTTAGAGGAAAAGTATTTTGTATCTGCTCTGCTTACTAGGTTATTTCTTGAAATCTCGCCACTGCGAGCTAATTGTGCCTTTTTGCTGTCCATTAAGGAGAGTGTAAGTTAAGTAAGTCCCAGAGAAGTTAGGGGACCCATATCAGAAGTGCCCCACATATGTGGCCTGCAGTACGCTCAAGTGCTGCAAAACCAGATTAAAATTTCATTGGGAAACATTTAACAAATCCTTTTTAAAAAACACAACAGAACATAGATAATGTTAATATGTCATTTTCTAAGCCAACATGTGGCTCAGGAATTCTACTGTCCCCTATTTCTATTTGAGTTTGATGCTACTGACCCATATCATACCTTAGTGAGGTTGCTTGGTCAATTTTAGAGACATGGAAACAGAGACATCCAGAGGTGAAACAAATTCCAACCTTATAAAGAGATTAGCAAGAGGAGGGGCAGCTAGGCGGCACAGTGGATAAAGCATTGGCCCTGGAGTCACGAGGACCTGAGTTCAAATCTTGTCTCAGACCAAACACTTGACACTTACTAGCTTGTGTGGCTCTTGACAAGTCACTTAACCCTGTTGCCTAGCAAAAAAAAAAAAAAGAGAGAGAGAGAGATTAGCAAGAGGATAAATTATGAACACTAAATCAGTCAAGAAGCATTTATTAAGCTCTTGCTATGTTCTAGGATAAGTGAAACCAACCCTGTTTTCATGGAGTTGGCATTCTAACATGTGTATGTATGTGTATGTATGCTTCATCAGTGTATATGTAAGGGTATACGTATGTGAACATTGAGATGTATGTTTGTGTGTGTGCCTATTTTCATGTAAGTGTGTAATTGTGCTGTGTATGAGTGTGTACATATTTTTCCACATCTCTGCTTTTGGAATCCTTGGTTTCCTTCAAGTATGAATTCAAGTTCTTACATCTACATGAGGTCCTTCCTGACTAGCTCTGCTGCTAGTTGTGGAGGAAGGGTGGGAATATCAGGTGCTGTGCTAAGTGACTTACAAACATTTCATTTGATCTTCACAGCAACTGTGGGAGGGAGAGGCTGTTATTTTCCCAATTTTACTGTTAAGGAAACTGAAGTAAACAGTGGTTTAAATCACTTGCCCAGAGGCACACAGTGTAAGTGTCTGAGACCAGATTCAAATTCTGGTCTTGCAGACTCCAGACTCTATCCATTGTACCAGTAGCTGCCTCCTTTTGTCATTTTGATTGTATGTAGATGTAGATGTATTGCATGTGTATTTATATGAGTATTGAAATGCACATGTATATATGTACATGTATATGTACACACATGTACATAAAGTAGCTAACATTTACATTGCCCTTTAATGTTTACAAAGAACTTTACAAATATTATCTTGTTTGATTCTCACAACTTGTGAGAACATGCTACGATTATCCTCATTTTACAGATGAGGAAACAGAGGTTAAGTGACTTATCCAGGGTTGTACAAGAGCGAATGCCTGAGGCAAAATTCAGTCCCGTACTCTATCCACTACACTACATCTATATATCTGCATGTGTAAATGTATATGTACCTGTGCATCAACATATACATGTATATGTATATATACGTATACATATACATATCTATATATCTCTATCTCTATCTCTATCTATCTATCTATCTATATGTAATATATATATATATATTATATATATATATATATATATATATATATATATATATATATATATATATATATATATACACACACACACACATGTATATGTATATGGAAATCAGGGAGTCCAATAGACAGAGTTGAAGAAAGAGTACATTTCAGGGATGGGTATCAGTCATCCCCAAGACATGGAGGCAAAAGAGGGAGTGGTCATATGTGCAGAGTAGTGAGTGGACGAGTTTGTCTGGATTCCAGAGTATATGGAGTAAAGTAATGTGCACAAAAAAGGACCAGGTTGTGAAAGTCTTTAAATGGCAAATAGAGGGTTTTATATTTGATCCTGTGATAGGGAGCCACTGGAGTTTATTGCATAGAGGAGTGACATGGTCAGACCTATACTTTAGGAAAATCCCTTTGGCGGCCAAATGGAGAATGCATTGGGATTAGGAGGAGGTTTGAGCCAAGGAGACTATTGCAATAGTCTAAATGAGAAGTCATAGGGCCTGAAATAGGGTAGCAGTTGTGTGAGTGGAGAGCAGGGGACATATTTAAGAGTTTATGTAGAGATCAAAGAACTGAGATCTGGAAACTGATTGTCTATGTGGGGTGAACGAGAATACATAACAGCAAGGTTGCAGACCTGGTGACTGGTAGATTAGTGCTGTTTTACACAGTACTAGTGTAGTTCAGAAGAAGGTTTGGCTCCAGGAGAAAGATAATGAGTTCTGTTTTGAAGATGTTGAGTTTGGGATACTTCCAGGATATCCAATTTGAAACATCTAATAGGTATTTGGTAATGTACCTGAAACATAAAAGAAGATCTGTGGTTGGATATATAGTCTGGCAGTCACCTGCATAGAGACAGTAATCGAACTCATGGGAGCTGATGAGATAGCATAGAGAGAAAAGAGCAGAGGGCTCAAGATATTGAACCTTGAGGTACACCCCACAGTTAGTAGATGTGAATCTGATAATGGCCCAGCAAAGGAGACTGAGAAGGAGTGGACAGGCAGATAGAAAGAGAATCAGAAGAGAGGTCAAAGAGGATGAAGTTAAGAGGTGAGACCATTTGATTTGACAATTAAAAGGTAATTGGTGAGTTTGGAGAGAATAGTTTCACTTGAATGATAGGGTGAGAAGCCAGATTGGAGGAAATTGAGAAAGCTCTTTACTCTCAGCTTCAGGAGAAATAATGAAGTCTGATCATATGTATGAAGGATGACTACCTGGTAAAAAAAAATTTTTAAAAAGGATCCTTCTGATTACACTTGTAATGTTGGAGATGCTTGGAATGGGTGTATCCAAGACAACATATACTGAGTATACCAACTCAGATAAGGTATTGCTCTTCTTATACAAGTAGACAATTTGCTTGTTGAAAAAAGAATAAAATGAAATTTTGAGACAAAAATAAGAAAGAAAAATAAAACAATTGTCTAAAGAAAAACAAATTATCTTTTGGAGAATGTAAGGAGCTTCCTTTTCATATACAAACAGTTTGGTTGCCAAAGTGGACCAAAGAATCTTTTTGTTTATGAAAAACTTATAGAGTCAAGTGTGAAGACACATAAAATGTGAGGGAAAGCATATCATCAGGAGGATCATATTGAGTATTGAGGAGTCTTGTGTGAGGACAAAGAAAGGACTCAAGTTGCAGGACTTTGAATTCCTCAGTTCATTTGGATGCAACCACTTTTAGAATTTATTTTTTTTATTTTTTTTTTAGGCAGTTCGGTTTAAGTGACTTGCCCAGGGTCACACAGGTAGTAAGTGTCAAGTGTTTGATCTGAGGCTGGATTTGAACTCAGGTACTCCTGACTTCAGGGCCAGTGCTCTATCCACTGCACCACCTAGCTGCCACTCACTTTTAGAATTTAGAATTAGAAGTAGAAGTAAAAGTCACAAAGTGGCAAAAAAAACACAGATAATGGTTTGGAAATGAGGGGATGATTAAGTAAGGGCTGTTGGTTTCATAACTAAATCATTAAGAATTTTACTTCATAAGAGAAAAATGAATCACTGAACATGAGGAGATTCTGATTTGAGCCAGAGAGAGTCCAACTGGAAGGGGCTGAGTTGAGAAGATGGCAGGAGAGTCAGCTAATATGGAATCTATTATGCTACCTCTCTTATGCCAGATGGTAAAACCAGTATCCTTCACCATTCACCTGGAATTAGTCATCTCTCCCTTTGACTTAGTGATAAACACAGTTACAATGCTCAAATATAAATAGAATTTTTTTTTATCTGTTACAGAAAATAACAACCCCCAAACAAGCTCCTTTTGGACATTTCTTGCTAACAACTTTGCCAAGTCAAAATAACTACCAGTTCCTACAGACCATGGGTCAGACAAAGCTGTACATTTGGCAAATACATCTTCAGAGGCTTGTCTTTTGACTCTTCTAAGTTGCCCAACCCTGAGCATCTGCTTGTTGAAGAACTAAATGATTTCATCAACTTT